AAGGCATGTGTGCTATGCCACTTCTTTTTTTTTTTTTTTTGTGGTACCAGAACTTGAACTCAGGGCCTACACCTTGAGCCACTCCACCAGCCCTTTTTGTGTTAGGTATTTTCAAGATAGGGTCTCACGAACTTATTTGCCTGGGCTGGCTTTGAACATGATCCTCCTGATCGCTGCCTGCTGAATAGCTAGAATTATTTCTTTGTATGACCCCAGCATCACTGCTAGTATTTCTTGTACTACCCCCAGCACTGAACTGTTTGGCCTTCTTCGTGTTATTTTATTAATAGCTAACATTTTAGAGTAATGGATTAGTGCAACACATTCTCTAGCCTTCTCCCACGTAGTTCCTTTTAGTGATACGTGGTTGGTATTGCTAGAAGATATAAACACTTAAAATTGTAATTAGCAGGAAATGTTAAGATAACAGAGTACTGTATCCTAAGTCAGGTGAAGTTCTAGTGCATGTAAATAGCAGCACTATTTACATAGTCCTACCTAAGGACTCACTGGGTACACTGACAGTTACAGTGCATAGCAGTGTAACATTCTGCAATCACAGCTTAGGGCTTTCTCCACCCAGCAACTTTGAAATATTATAAATTATTTTTCAATTTGAATAGATTTGTATTACTTAAAATTTTGCAAATAAACTGAAATTATGATTTCAAATTATTTCACATTTAATATTTAAAATTCACATACAGTATGATGCAGAACACTGTAAGAGGTGAGCAATATCAGAGACCAAGGAAACCCAAGTGCAATGCAAAAGCAAGTTGTTAGAATTCAGAAAAGGAGGGACTTTTTAACTCTCTTCTGTCCTCTGCTTCCTTTATGTTTGAAAGGCAGCTTATCTTTCTATATCTGCATCCCTGAAAGCTGAGCCTGTCTCCCGGTAACTAGCCACTCATATGGTTGAAAATGGTTTGTCCCTTCTGAAACTCCTGTTGAAATTTAATACTCAGGAGATATTAAGAGTTGGACCAGGTGGGACCTTTAAGAGGTGATTATGGCTCTTTGCTCACCAATTAATTAATCCATTCATGGATTAATGGGTCTGCTATAAAACCCATTTTGGCTATATCTGCTCCCTGACTCTCTATGTGATGCCCTGCACCATCTCGGGTCTCTGTCTCCCAGAAGGCTATCACCAGATGCAGTCCTTTGACCTTGGACTAGAACTGTGATCCAAACAAACCTCTTTTCTTTATAACTTACTTAGTATGCTGTATTGTGTAATGACAAAACCAAGCCAGATACCGTTAATCCATCTTTTTCTTGATCTGTTTTATGTTCTCCTCCTTTACCCTGGTCTCCTGACCCCCATCCCTAACTTCATTCTGATGCTTTGTGTGCTTCAGTGGGAGAAACACAAGCTTTAAAGCACTCATACAGGAGGCTTCCCACAGAAGGCTATTGACTCCAGAAGGCAACCAGCCCTCCACAGCCTGGTCTGCCAGCCTGAGAATGACACCTGCACCTTGCCACTGTCCTAAGCTTCTTTCCTCGGCAGTGATTCTGGGACAGTAGTTTTAGCCCTGTCTGCCTCACAAGTGGTTTGCAGAATAAGTGACTGTCTTAGTGAGCTTAGGCTGTGTAACAAAATATCATAGGCTGGGAGATTTATTTTCTCACAGTTCTGGATACTGGGGATTTGGGATCAGGGTGGGAGTAGGGTCAGATTGTACTGAGAGCTCTCTTCTTGACTTATAGGTGGCTATCTTCTGTCTGTGTCCTATATGATAGAATGATATCAGGACAGAACTCTGGTCTCTCTTCCTCTTCTTATAAGGACCCTCATTCCATCATGGGGCCCCATCCTCATGACTTCATCTAACGTTACTTCCTAAACAATTCCCCTCCAAATACTATCACTTTCAAGCTTATGGTTTAAACGTAGGAATCTTGGGGGGGAGGACAACATTCATCCCATAATAGGGGGCTTTTTTAAAATGCATGCTTAATGAGGTTTCTGAAAAGTTGAAAGTGATTTGCAAATGTAAGATTTTTTAAATTAGTATTGGTACATTATTTTTACTGTCTAGCTTCTACACATTTCCCCTGTGCCTCGGTTTCTAAGGAAACCAAACTCCTTCTGAGTAATGTTCAGGAGAGTAGAGCCCTCTTGCAATTTGAAGCTGGAGAAGCAGAGTATTAGATGCACAGAGCACTGTGGCTCTGAAAGTACGTACCCCATCCTTGATCCCATGCTTCTCGCTCACTGCACTGTGGCCGTGCAATTACTTTCACACAACAGAGTCCATCAGTGCCTTCCATAGCAGAAGAAAGGAGAGAGGGGAAGCAGGGTAGATCCACTGTGAGGAAGGCAGAGGACTAGGCAGGTTTGGGACATCATGGAGTATTCAGAGCAGGAGGTAGGGTGGTGGAAGAACTGAGCATTCTTGCCTGAGGGCCTCTAGAAGCTACAGGGAGAGGAGGAGGTAGCAGGCAGGCCAGCAGTGAGAAAGCCCTGGAACACCAGTTAGGGATGCCATTATTGGAAGATAGATCAATGGTCGAGGATGTGAAAGGTCACCAGCAAAGACTCTTCTCCATGGCAGCATTATTGATTGGCAGTAATTGTGCATAGTGAGAGGGCTGTGCCTGTATTGGGCACCCAGTAAATGCACAGTGTTGAGAAAATAATTAGGTGAATGCCTCCAGGGTATCCAGGCTCCCTTGCCCTTAGCAGCAGCTGTGCAAAGTTTCAGACACTTAAGCTCATTGGGGAAAGGCTCTAGGAGAAAAAATAGATTGAGCTTGGTGTCAGTTGCCAAAAGGCAATGTCTTGGGACTGTGGCTGACACCATGGTTGTCAAAAGGTACTGTCTTCTTTGTTGTTTCCATTTCTTTTCACTCTCTGAATTGCCTTTGATCTCTCCTGAGTGCCTTTCCTTTCCTATCTAGAATGTCAGTTTGCTCAGGAAATGAAACATTATCCAAGCACAATATTGCTTGGAATAACTACAGGTGATGGGAGAAAACTCAAACACACAGGCCTTTTATAGCTGCAATTGCTGTTCTCTTTATTAGCTTTTTATAAAGAAGGTTTCAGTGGATCCATTATCACACATTCATTGCCATGACTTGCAGAAAACGAATCACATCTTTGCTTGAGTATGTGCGTCTATTACCGCTAGCACCTATCTTTTATTGTGTTAAAGCTGTAAAAGTTGTTTTAAAACTGGTTTATGACTTTAATATTTCAAATAAATCTGTTTCATGTTCTTTTGAAAACTTTGTTTTTTCAATAGTGTTATTATGTCCCTGAAGCTTATTTCCATGATGATGTTATTATTTGAATAAAGCACTGTTTTTCTTGGACACACATATACTCTAAAAGTTTGAAGTTGCGTTGTTTCTGTTCTAGGCTGTATAGTTCTATTACTTCATTAGACTCAGAGCATCATAAAATATCAGAGGTGGGAGTGGCTGTTGAGCTTGTCAACAGGACTTGACCTCTGTCAACGCAGTCCCCATTTTGATAAATTAAAATGAAATACATTAAATGCAATCTGAAATCCAAAGCAAACTAAAATGAAATATTATCACTAACACCAAAGCAATACAGTTTGATACAGTGTCCTTTGTTTCTTTCTCTTTGAAAAAAATCACAAATTGCTTTGAGTTTCTGACACCTCTAAGGCCCCGTGCCTAATCACTGTTGAAAATGGTTGCCTGAGTACTATTCACAATAGCCAAGTTATGGAAACAGCCAAGATGCCCTACCACTGATGAATGGATTAAGAAAATGTGGTATCTATACACAATGGAATTTTATGCAGCCATGAGGAAGAATGAAATGTTATCATTCGCAAGTAAATGGATGGAACTGGAGAACATAATTCTGAGTGAGGTTAGCCTGGCCAAAAGACCAAAAATCGTATGTTTTCCCTCATATGCAGACATTAGATCAAGGGCAAACACAACAAGGGGATTGGACTTTGATCACATGATAAAGCGAGTGCACACAAGGGAGGTATGAGGATAGGTAAGACACCTAAAAAACTAGATAGCATTTGTTGCCCTCAACGCAGAGAAACTAACGCAGATACATTAAAGTGACAGAGGCCAATAGGAGAAGGGGACCAGGAACTAGAGAAAAGGTTAGATCAATAAGAATTAACCTAGAAGGTAACACACATGCACAGGAAATCAATGTGAGTCAATGCCCTGTATAGCTATCCTTATCTCAACTAGCAAAAACCCTTGTTCCTTCCAATTATTGCTTATACTCTCTCTTCAACAAAATTAGAGATAAGGGCAAAATAGTTTCTTCCTGGTAACAGGGGGGTAGGGGAGGAGAGGGAGGGGCTGGGGGGTAAAGAAGTGGGTGGGGGGAATGGGGAGGAAATGACCCAAACATTGTATGCACATATGAATAAAAGAAAAAAAAGAGCTAATACAACTTGGAATACACTGAAATCCAGAGTATATTTTTTAAAAAAAAAGGAAATGGTTGCCTGGATTGATCTCCTCATTTTACAGATATAAAGATTGAGGTCCAAGGATTCAAGAGGTGCTCGCACACTCAATAGCTCAGGAGCAGAACTTGGTTAAGAACCCAGACATCCAAAGCCTTTCTCACAACACTCCCCCATTGTGGAGGGCCAATCCCATACAAAGAGAGATCTGGTCCAATGTCATCTCCCTCTGTGATGCTGATATTCAAGAAGGTCATTTCGAATTCACATTGTCACAGCAGAGCAAAGTCCAATGTCAGGAGAGACTTCTCAGGCATGGTTAGTCTATGAGTCCTGGTTTGTTTTATCTCCTTTATTTCACTCTGGACATTTCTACTGCCATGACATAGGAACACTTTCTGGGGATAGCTTCTAGGACAAACTCTAAACCCAAACATGGATTCATTTTTGAAATAAAGTTTGAGTCTTTTATCACATGGAGCGCTCTTAGTGATGATTTTCCCTGCATAATCCAACAGGTCCTCCCAAATTTCTAATTTATTCTTTTTGTTTGTTTGTTTGTTTTTTAAACAGTGTATCTGGTGGAGAACTATTTGATCGGATAGTGGAGAAGGGATTTTACACAGAGAAAGACGCCAGCACTCTGATCCGCCAGGTCTTGGATGCTGTGTACTATCTCCACAGGATGGGCATCGTCCACAGAGACCTGAAGGTGAGGCCATTGCTTAGCAACACCCACCAGCCAAGCCATAACCTGTAATGCACTTGTTGGAGAGAATTGGTTCTGATGGAGGTGCAATCAACTATGCCATTTTGTGTACCTTTTGTTATCAGTACTTTTAGGGTACAAGGGTCAATGTCACTGGCAAATGTTTGGGAGATTTTATAACCATTGTGCAGCCAAAGGATCATAGAGAGGTAGCTTGAGTAATTGCTGTGAGCCCTTCTGAAAGATTATTCTGTTCAAGCCATAAAGATCATGAAAACCCTTCAATCCAGAGCAGTTCTTCAGAGCCTTATCCCAACCCCAGCCCCATTTCAGCCCAACATACCATATAAAAGACAGGGAGCAACAGGAGACAGTGTGAGAGAAGAGAGGAGAGAAATAGAAGATTGGTGAGATGGTGGGTTTAAAAGGCTACAGGTGCCACCTTCTCCCAATGTCCTAAAGTTTCCTTTCTTCTCCTTTTCTTCCTTTCTTTTTTTTTCCCATTGGTTTTTTTTTTTTTTTTTTTTGAGACAGGCCTCAAGCACACAGTTCTCCTGCCTCAGCCTCCTGAGTGCCGAGGTTATAGGCAGTTATATTTTCTTTATAAGGTGTTGGCATCAGCACTGAAAGGTCTGGGACTTATCACAGGCACCTTGGCCTTCTCCCAGGTCTATGTAAATAACCAGAGGTAGATATCACACACGTGAACTTGAAAACAGTGAAAGCAGCATTGCTGACCACAGGTTCTACTGAGGCTTCATGCTACAGCACTTGTAGGTTACAAGTCCAGCCCCAGAGTGTACTGCACTCGTAGAACAGAAATCTTCCCCAGCATCATGCCCACATAAGCATAAACACAGGATTGTATTCTACTGAAACCATGCTATACCCAACTGTGGGGAACCTAAATTGATATAAAGAATCAATTATAAACATTTGTTAAAACAGAGTTTCAGCACCTGTCCAATATCCACTACTGGGTGTGAGGAGGTCAAGCAGGTAGCCTTCCTTTCATGAAGACTCTGTTGGGCTGAGGGTGGGGCTCAGTGGTCCAGGGCTTGCCTAGTGTGCACAAGGCTCCAGGTTCCATCCCTGAATAACGTGCAAACATAAAAAATGACCACTGTCAAGGTTTCTCTTCCCTCTACAAATCATTTTCTATCATTTTTCCATTTCCATAGGCCATTTTTGTGCTTTCTTTTCAGAGATAAAAGATGTTGGCATGTATCAGAATTGCCTAGTAAAATCTTTGCCCACTGGCCCTGCCTAGAGTTTCCTATTCTGCAGGTCTGCAGGGGCCAAGAACTTGCACTTGTGTGGGTGATGCTGGATGCTGATCTGGGAATCACTCTTGGAGAAGCACTGGACAAGGGAATTTGGGAAGATCAGCCAAGTCCTTCCAGCCTTTGCTATCTTTTTGCCAGGTGAAGGGCTGTGAAAATGACCAGTTGATCTCCAGGGCTCAGAAGCTCTGTAGAGAGCCAGGGAAGGGCTCGGTCAGCCAGCCTGTCACCTCCATGCCAGCCAGTGGGCCTTCTCTGTTCTCTTGTACCCCTGTTGCCTGCCAGTCTTGCTCTTCCAGAAAGTGGCAGGCAGCTGTTGCCAAAGTTAGTGTTGTGACTGTGAGAGATGTGGTGTGAGAAGCTAGCTGTCTATACTTATTAGAGAAATAATTTCCAAATAGATTAGTCATATGCAGGAAGAGCAGTGTTTATCTCCCTCTTAGAAAGGAGGACCAGTTGAATGGAAGGTACGGTTTTTACTCCTGTGTCAGGCTTTTCGACAAGTACTTGAGGGTCCCAGCCTGTGGAACTTTCAGAACACCAGGCTTATCATTGAAGAAAGAACACAGACAATTTAGGATCTTTTGTGTTCTCTTTTCATAGGCACAAATGAGTTTGATCTATGTGGAAGAAGTTGGGATTGCAAAACTAAATTTCATAGACACCTAAGATAATTAAAATCACCTATATAATCTAGGCTACAGCAACAGAGAGTTTAATGGTATGGATTAAAGAGGCAGGCACACTCTGGGACATCACCCCGCAACCCATGTACAGATACATCCTCTTCTCCTTCCAGAATGGTGTTCTTGTGTTTTGTGAAGCAACCAGAGTTGATCAAGCGTTCTTTTATTCTAAAACCACCTCAGATTTGGATGGGGGTATCTCAGCCCCTGCACTGTGGAGAATTGGGATTGGGCCATTCTTTGTGTGAGAGGTGGTCCTGGGCTCTGAAGGGTGGTTACCAGCATCTCTGACTTTTCCCCGATAGATACCAGTACCAATCCTAGAGTTGTGACAGCCAAAAATGTCTCTAGACTTTGCCTCTTGTCCCCTGAGAGGCAAAAATGCCTCCTGCTAAGAATGACTGGGTTAGGAATGTGACGCTATTGAACACTAACCTCACTGGAAGCGTGTCTCCAATCTCTTAAAAGATTGCCATGTGAGTTATTGTAAAGGGTGGAGAGCCATAATCCAAGTCAAGTATTGGCCACCAGTTATCTAGCAAAGATGTCATAATTGGCAGCCAAAAAATAATTTTTTTAGGTGAGTCCAAGTCATCCTAGGACCTCAGACAGAACTGCAGTATAGTGTGGCAAGATCCCTCCCTGTCACCCCAACCCTACCACCCTCCTGCTGCCCTCTAGTGGCCTCCCATCCAGATTGTCCCTTAGCCTATCCTCTCAGCCATCTCCTTCCCTGCTCCCAGGAAAAGTCTGTCTTTACCAAGCCTTGAGCCAATGCAAAGTATTGGTCCAAACTGTGAGTGAACGTCTAGTCGATTTAACCCTCCTCTGGTATAATTGCTTTTCAAAGGAGCGTTTTATTGACCCAAATGAATATCCTGTAGAGAGAGAGACACATTGGGAGATCCTGTGCACCTGTGGCAATCCCTTTCCTACACTAAGCCTTACTTAGTGGCACAGTTCTCTTGCTTTTGGTTCCTTCTTTCCTGCTTCTACAGTTGCAGAAGTCCTGGAGCAAGGAAGGTGAAAAATCAGAAATTATAAAAACATCCTCTCTGCATCTATGATTGGTTGCACACTGTTTGTCAATGGATGTTCCCTTAACATGCAGGAAAAAAAAATACTAACCACCTGATTTTATGATGAGCGAATTCTCCACACTCTATCCCCTACCCCCATTTCCTAAGTGTTCCTATTTCAGGTATTGATTGACTTATTTGGTTTTCTTTTAAAAACTCATTTGAAAGCATCCTCCAGCATACACTTTATTTTCTTCTTTCTCATGCTTCACGCACAAAATTGTCACTGTGACTATTGAGTTCCATTCTTTTTTTGTGTGTTATTATTGTGGGTGAATGATAATATCTTTTCCTTGAGTTCTTTTGAAGAACAAAATTATTTTGACACTTGTTAAAACAATAGAAAGCCTTTATTCAAGACTCTTGCAGTCGAGGAGAGAGATTGAGCTCAACTTTGAATACAACAAGAACAAGTGGGGAGAGTCTGGGAGCCGTGGGAAAGCACTAAGAGGAGACAGTTGGGATGAGTGGTTCTTGCTAAAATGACCTAACAGGGTTCTTGCTAAAGGCAGATTATTGCCAAGGACTGGGACACAGACAAAGACTCTCTCCTTTGACTTAAATTGATCCAGGCTCCTCTGAGTCTTTTTGATGGGGCCCCAGCCTTGGACTCTTGCCTTTGTCTAGGAACTCTACTGTTTAGCCCAGTTTTAGCAAGAATCCTCCTGAGTCAATTTAGCAAAAATCCCCTACCCTTAATATTTGACCAATTCCTTATTCCCCATCCTCATATCATGTTACCCTTGCCCGCATTTACCAGAACTTCTGTCAAATTGGTTTAGCCAGAATCCCTCTGGCTCCTGAAGTTTCCTTAAAGTCATTTTCCATGAACTCCTTCTCCACCACCACCATCCTGCTCCTTGGCTATAAATCTGCATTTGACCTTGTAGTATTTGAAATATGTCTGATCTCTTTTCCTTATTGCAAAACCCCTTTGTCATTGTACAGAGTACTTGTTGTTTTTTACAACTATCTGAGGGCTGACTGAGTGGTTTACATGGTAGAGTGCCTGCCTAGCAAACATGAAGCCCTGAGTTCAAATGCCAGTACCATAAAAAAATTGAAAAAAGTACCTGAATAATTTTTCTCCTTAACAACATCAAAAGCAGAGAATGAAGGTACTGGGCTTGACTCAGGGCCTCACACTTGCTAAGAAGGCACTCTGCCACTTGAGCCACTCCACCAGCCCAAGGATGAAGTACTTGATCAGATTTCAGGGGCGGGGAATTCTCTAAATTAACTTAGTCAAAGTCTTGCTAAGACTGGACTAGGCAGACCTGGAAGAGCAGAAGGAGAAACATAGGAGGTCAAGGTCAAGGTCTTGTAGAGAAGAGTGCCAAGGACTAAGTTTGGTCAAGGACGAATCTTGGACAGTTCTCACAATTTTTTTTTCATTTTTCTTTTATTATTCATATGTGCATACAAGGCTTGGTTCATTTCTCTCCCCTGCCCCCACCCCCTCCCTTACCACCCACTCCTCCCCCTCCCCCTCCCCCCCTCAATACCCAGCAGAAACTATTTTGCCCTTATTTCTAATTTTGTTGTAGAGAGAGTATAAGCAATAATAGGAAGGAACAAGGGTTTTTGCTGGTTGAGATAAGGATAGCTATACAGGGCATTGACTCACATTGATTTCCTGTGCGTGGGTGTTACCTTCTAGGTTAATTCTTTTTGATCTAACCTTTTCTCTAGTACCTGTTCCCCTTTTCCTATTGAGCAGAGCCTGCCCAGTGAAGTCCCCCTACCTTACCCTGGAACTGTAACCCAGATGCCCAAACCCCATTTCAGATCTCCCAGAAGACAACGAAGACATTCTACCATTTAATGCCCTCACAGGCAATGCTGCCACACATCAAAGCCAAGAACCACTTTTCTAACCAAGTGTGGTCATCTACACAGAATAGTTCCCAAAATTCAATACTTAGGAACCAAAGATTCACCGCAAAGCCCTGACAAGAGAGAAAATGGCCTTCCCTCAGGGCTGGGGAGAAGAGCAGGATGGGAAATGGTGTGGGAGAATGAGTTTCCCATCAAATTCTTCATGTTGTATTTCTTTTAAGGTTTAATGTCATTGAGAGCCGTGCTTATTTATTCAGTCAGTAAACCTTCAGAATGGTCCTAGTGGGTGGATGTTCCTGAACAGTAGAGGTGACAGTCTTGGACATTATCTCCCTCAGGAAGAGCATCAACTGAAGTCACTCTTTCCCCAAAAGACAAAAGCAAAGGCAGGGACCTTCTCTGTGTTGAGATTCTCAGCTCAGTGGAACGGGGACAGTCCTGAGGCTGTAGCATCACAGTGTCTATAAACCCCACCCTGTTCCTTCCTAGAAACAGTGGGATTCTGGAGTTCATATAATATGCCGTGCAGACGAAGACTTATTGCCCTTCCTAAGCCCCTTCCATCTGCCTGGACTGTACTTTACCCCTGATGCTGCAGAGCTGCAGTCGAGACAGGAACCTAGGACTATAAGAAATAGGGTCTGGGAGTGTGGTTCAAGCCAAAGGCCCAGAGTTCAATCCCCAGTCCAAAAAAATAAGTTTAATTTTTGCAAGTATGGTGGTGTACATCTGTCATCCCAGCTCCTTGTGAGGCAGAGACAGGAGGATTGTGTTTAGAGACCAGCCCAGGCAAAGCTAGCAAGACCCTATCTGCAAAACAAACTTTAGAAAAGGCAAAAAGGATGGGTGTGGAGGGGAGGTGGGAGGAGAGGGTGGCCCAAGTGGTAGAGTGCTTGCCTAGCAAGTGTCAGGCTCTGAGTTCAATCCCCAATACCCCTCTAAAAATGTAAAGAAAAAAAGAAATGTATAAGACCTTTACTATGTGTTATTGCTACTGCCTGAGCTCTGTCTATGCTGTTCAGAGAAGCAAACAAGAAACCATTACAGTCCATGCTTTGCAGACCTTGGCATCCCTAAGGACATGTGGCTAGAAACTGCTACATCTTCCAACTCATTCTGCTTCCCAGGGAGGAGAGGGGGGAGGTGCCTGTTGGTCTCAGGAAGACACTAAGTACAGTCCCTCTGCCAGAACTATGGGACACCATGGGATGCTTCTGAGGGAAGGGAGAGAGACCTTTGGACTACAGAAAAGTAGCTGGTAAGGGTCGCTCATGAAAATGGAACAGATAAGTGGTTTATTTCCTGGAAATACCCCTCGACCTAATCAAGAACTGAATCCACAGCCTAAGAGGCACCTGCTTTTTAGAGTGCCTCAAAGTATGATTAAGCATTTTAAGTAGACAAAGTCTTAGTAAAGGAAAGGGACTTACATTGATTGAAGACCTTCCAGGACTAGATGCTAGGCAGGGCCCTCCACACATGTCTATTTTCATAGACATCTATTATGTCTGAAGGTCAAGGATGGTCTTAATTGTGAGTAGCTTTTGCAGTTTGGTGAGTCTCTCATAATTAGCCCAGATTTAAATATAATCTGTATGTTTTTGTCTTATTTTTTTCCTAGCCTGAAAATCTGTTGTATTACAGTCAAGATGAGGAATCCAAAATAATGATCAGTGACTTTGGACTGTCAAAAATGGAGGGCAAAGGCGATGTGATGTCCACGGCCTGTGGAACCCCAGGCTATGTTGGTAAGAAGTGTGTGTGTGTGTGTGTGTGTGTGTGTGTGTGTGTGTGTGTGTGTCTGTGTGTCTGTGTGTCTGTGTGTGTGTGAACACATGTGTGTGGCATGTCCTCCACATCTACTCCATCAGTCTTCTTAAACATTTGAGCCTGGCATATGATCACAGCTGCCTTGATTTCTCTTGAGGGAAGAATAAACATATTGAGAGGTACTGGAACAAGTTAGCAGGGATGTGATTCCCCCCGAAACCTTTTAACAGTTGGCCAGAAATTCTGTTTGGTTTGGTTGTGGATCTGACTGGAGGCTGAGAGTTAGTTTGGAGGAATACCCATGTTCTTATACCAGAAATATTGCATGTATCTGCTGTTGAATGATTTACAGTGAAACACTGAGATTACAATAAGGTGCAGATGATAAAACACTCAAAATGTTGAGACAGATGCAGCCAGAGAAAAAATCCTGGTATCAGGAACCTGGTAGGAACCTTGGTGATGTTATTCTCTTGAGTCAGCTAACCCTCATCTGTGCTGGCCAAGCTAGGAATTATGAAAGTTTATCCTAAAATCAGAACCCCAGATTCTTTTGCTAAACATACAAAATGTAGAAAAGGCTATTGACAGATCTGAGAGCTTGGTTACTGAGATTTATCTTCTTTCTTCTGGGAAACTGGAGAAAAATCATGGAACTTTCTGTTACTATAATGAATACCTAAGACAATTGTCTTATAAAGAGAAAAGGTTGATTTTAGCTCACAGTTTTGGCAGTTTCAGTCTATGATTGGTTGGCCCTGTTGCTTTTGGGCCTGTGGTGAGGTGTTCTGGTAGTGGCAAAACCATTTACCTATGGCTGGAAGAGGAAGGAGTTGGGAGTCCTAATATCCCCTTCGAAGTCACCCCCAGGGACCAGAAGACCTACCACTGGGCACTACCTCTTAAGTGTTCTGCCAGTCTTAACAGTGGCTGTAGGCTAGGGACCAAGTCTTTTAACACAAGGGTCTTTAGGGATGCTTATCCAAACTACCGCAGGAACTATTTGTGAATATTTTGTGACTTTTGTTTACATCAATGTATTCATTCATTCACTCATCACATGTAAATGAAGTACCTACTGTGTACTCAACATTGTTCTGGAAACTGAGGTTAAGGCCATGAATGAGACAAACATCATACCTGCCATCAAGGAGCTTGCACTGTGGTTGTAACAACATACAACAAACCAATAAATGAACAGATCATGTGTGTCATGAGGAAAATAATGGGGACATGTGATAGAGTAACTCTGGACAAGGAGGAATTAGGACTGGGTGGAGAACCAAGAGGAGATTTGGGCTTTCATATGGGTAAGGAGAAGAGGCCAGCCACAGGAGTTAGAGGAGGGTGGGGTGTTTCAGGCAGATAAATCAACTTAGGCAAAAATCCAAAAGCAGAAAGAGTGCAAGCTAAATATGTCTAAGAACCAGAGACAAAGGAGGTTGGAAAATGGAGAGCAAGGCTGAATTCTTGTCATGCAAACCATGATATCTTTCTTCATGAGGACAGTGAGTGAGCCCATCTGGGAAGGGAAGAGTGGTTTGGAGACACTGGAGCACTGAGAAATTCCCAGGGACCTTGTAAGCACTTCCAGTCCTTGTATAATTATGGTGTCATGTCAACCTGGTAGTCACAACTGTTTCATTTTCAAAGTAACTAAGGGAAGAGAAGAAAAGAGTCAGCTGAGGGGAGTGACGAGGAAAATGAGGGAACGGGTAGGGAACCAAACAGACTTAGAAGGAGGGGAGCCACCTGGTGAAAAGTGGAGGAAGAGGGGGGCATTTGTCGCAGGTGGGGCTGATGACCCTGGATCATTAATATGCACAGGACAGAGAAGGAGGTTGCTCTGAGCAGAGGTCCCATCTCCTGGTCAGGAAGACTTTGCTCTTTCCAGCAACATCCAAGGTACTGATACTGTGGTCCAGTTTCCCCTTCAGAAAGTAGGCTCTTGAGTTAGGATTGAAATGCTGTGACAAAGACAGTCCGTATTTACAGATGCATCGTACTGTTCTTTTTGACTCTGATTTTGGAAAGCTCTAGCACTTTCTAGATTGACTTTTCTTCTTCTGCATGTTGGCCAAGCTCATGGAATGGTCTCCCTGAGTTTCTAAGTGGATGTCATTCACGGGTCTGGTTTCATTTGCTGCTGGGTCTAGTGCTGATGGATCCAGGGACGGTGTTTAGACATGACCCTGCACTGAAGGGTAGCTGGTCGAGCCCATGGGTAATTCTGTTGTCAGATGCTAAGTTTTCTTTGTGGAAGGTTAAGGAGAAAAGGACTAGGGGAATATAGTTACTCAGTTTGCATTTTCTGAACAGGGAGACTCCTTGAAGGGTCTGGAGTAAGCCCTGAGGAGGGGACACAACATCAGAGCAGAGAAGGGATGATCTCAGGTCTATATGGACACCCCTTGGGCAGTCAGTCATCTGCCGAGTGGGGACACTTTCCTCCCACCCAGTCTGCTGGTAAGCTCCTACTTAGCCATCAAAACCCAGCTTATTGCTAACCTTTTTTTAGTCCCTCTCCTAACACCTCATCCTCTCCTTCCTTATTCTAGTGCTTCACTTTGATCTTTTTTCATTGAATTTGATTTTCATTGCATTAGACTCCATGTTGATCTGGCTGTGTCCATTGGGCTGTGGGTTTTCCTCAAGCAAGGACTGTGTCTTATTCATCTTTGCATACGTGCATATTGGGTTGTGGATATTAGCAAGTTTTTTCTTTCCATTCATTCAACATGTATTTGTTCAATTTCTGCTATATACTGGGCCTACAGTGTTTGGTGTTTGGACACAAAGATGAATAGGGTGCAGTCTCTGGCCTCAATATGGTCACAGTGTTATGAGAGACGGAGGAAAATGGGCAAATTTAATAATGTCTGATAAGTACTGTCATATTCATTCACTCCTGAATTATTTTAGTGCCTCCCTTCTATTCTAGACACTGGAGATGCAGTGGTAGAAATATTGAAAAATATAGCTAAAAATCCTCACCCTTGTATCCTTTACATTTGAGTGGGGAGAAGATGGACCACAAGCAAAAGGCTAAGTCAGTTCATTTGTGTGGTAGATGGCAATCAGTACTATGGAGAGAAAAAACCAGAGGACAAGGTGTGTGTGTGTGTGTGTGTGTGTGTGTGTGTGTGTGTGTGTAGGGGTGGTGATCAGGCAACCCTTGCTAAGGGTGAAAAAGGGTTTGTTTGTTTGAGATAGGGTCTGGCTACATCCTAAGCTGGCCTGGAAATTCAGTCCTCCTGTCTCAGCCTCCTGAGTACTGAGATTATAGGCATATACTACAATGCCAGCTTAGGTGGTAAAGATTTGATAGACATGAAGGAGCTGGTCCTGCTGTTACTCAGAGGGACATATTCCAAGCCCACTACAAAAGCTCTAAGGCAGAAGCATGTGGGTACACAGCAAGGAGCAGCACGAGCAAAGGAACAAGAGACAGAAGAGATAAGACCAGAGAAGAAATGTGCAGGAAGCGTGTGGACCCCAGAAGTTAGACATCATTGTAACATCTCTAGCTTTTACTCAGGATGGTGGGCAACCATGGGAGATGCTTCTGAGTTAAGGGAGGACATGATCTGATTTCTATCAGGACCCCCCCAGGATGCAGACTGGGGATTAGGACTAGCAGCTGTGGAGCGAGCCAAAGTGAGGTAAGGAAGACCAGTTAAAAGGCTCTCACTGACCAGGTGAGAAATTACGTGGCTTGGCCAGGTGGGCAGCCGCAGAAGTGGTGAGCGGCTGTCAGATTCCAAATACATTTCAAAGACAATGTCATCACTGAGATTTTTTGAGAGGTTGAGTCTGGTTTGGGAGAAGGAGAGAAGCCAATGACAACTCCAAGGTTTTTTGGCCAGAGGACATAGAAGGATGCAGCTGCCTATTAATTGAGCAGATTTAGAAGTTTACAAGCAGGGAGTTTGGTTTTGATCTGTTAACGTTTGCTGGGTCACAACATTCTGGTCATAATATTTTTATCCACTGATAAGTATATAACCTTGTTTTACATGTGTTTCTGGTATACATACATACACATATATATATATATATATATATATATATATATATATATAGTTGATTTTACATTTACACTGAACACAGCCAAAGGCAATAGAACTTGTGCCTAAACTAAGCTTCTCCAACAGATGTCTCCTCTTTGTAAGGCACAGCCCAGCCTTCTCGTGCTCAGAGGCACTAGACTGCTTTTGGGCACTCTGGAGGTGACCATGGGCTCCCAATCTGATCCGATATGATGTGACTAATATAATTCAGGAGAAACTTTAAAATACAGGTCCAGGAGGGTTCAAGGGCAGATGCTGCCTTCAGATTTGGAAAGGCATGTGTGAATGCAGTGTAAGAAAAATCTTCCTCCCACCCCTCCCCCACCCCATGACAGTCTCTCTCTTGACAGACTCCTTATAGTAAGAAGTGTTATTTTCAATTTGTGAACTATTACTTTATTTTTACTATAACTTCAATGACTATTCAGTGGAATGCTTAATTCTGCCAACATCAAGTTACTACTCCAATTTAAGTGAGCTCTCTAATAATGAGGAAACGATGAAAAGGGGCTGTTTTCCCCCACTGTTCCCATGCACATGGTGTCTTAGGAGAAGGCAACAAGAATCTAAGTGTGTTGATATGTATACACCCTTTTACATGTAGTAGCTACCAGGATTTTACTCATCCTTTATAGGGAGCTATGGTTTTCCTTACCACTTACTGATGGTAGATGGCAGGCATTGCTCAAGTACAGGAAGCTTAGAGGACAGGCTCTGCCACCTCTAAGAGGGTCCCCAATTGAACATGGCAGGTGGGCAATACAGATGCATGTTTGGTTTTGAATATGATGCAATTTAAAAATATAGGTATGAGAAATGAGGGATGGATTGACCAGGTAGAATAACTGGAGGAAGCAGGACTTGAAGCAAGGGCAGAGCTCAAGCTCAGGCAGACAAGGAGAGTTCCA